TCTCGAGAAACACGGGAGAAGAGAACTCAGGTGCTGGCGGTTCTGCCTGTGCCGGAGGGCTCGAAAATGGGCGAGTGCAGTTTGCCCTGCTCCCACTCTGAACGTGCTGGCAGAATTTAGGAGAAACGCCAAGTCTCAAAAATGTGCACCGAAGCCCGATCCACCCCTTCTGGAAGCACGACAAGGGGCGGATCGTGCATCATTTCAGACTCATAAATCCACCGCCCCTCTTAAAGCCTAAGTGACAGTAGTTTCAGTAGTTTCAGTTGTTACACTGGCACCGACCCCCTGATGTCCTGAACAAATGGGGCTTGGGATCTGTGCCAAACTTGGTCCTCTTTTCATGCTCACGCCGAACGAAACTCGAATATCCCATCTCCGGTCCAAGCATGTCCACATACCGATGTTTGCCACTTGCCTTTCTGGACGAACTACCAAGTATACCACCTTCTAGCACGAACTAGCTCCACGGTTCTTGGAACAACTCAAACTTGTTTTTCCCTCTGATTTATGAAAACAGTGAACACTTGCATGGCTCTTAAGACTTAAGGGTTGATACATCTTTCATAAACTCGTTGTAAAACATACATGTACCTGTACGTGCAAGTGTTACAGAACCTCACCAACGTTACCACCCAGGAGGGCTGAGCCCCTAAAAACGTACATCTTGAAACATGTTGTTCAGTGATTACCCTTAGTAAGCCTTACTAAGTTCATCCTCTGTCTAAGGCCTTTATTGCACGTAGCATGTCAATTCTTTGTCGCCTTTGCGCCCTCATGAAAGGGTTTCCGTTGAACATGCTAGGATTTAATTATGCAAAAAGACTAGGTGTGGTGGCCTGAAATGTGTTACCTCAACCCGGAGGAATTGTTGGCACTCCCTGACCAGATTCGCTCAATTTCCCGTCACCCCCAGTGGTTGACAAGGGAATCAAACAAGACCCCAGATTTGCCTCTGCCTTGGCTTCTACCTTGGCCTCGAGCCTCGATCGGCCGTCAAGAGCGATCCGAAATCGAAAGTGGCATCAAACATCTGGAACCAGTTGATTTCCAAACTCATTCAAAGGAGCCAAAAGGAATTCAATAGCTTTCTGGTCTGAGTCATCTGGCCGGGAATAAAACATGAAACATGACTCAGGAATCCCTTAGGAATGAACACAGTCAAGCGCCTGGCTAAGCTGTTCCGAACCAATCGTGTGCAGCTTAAAGACTGGCACTGCCCAGAAAACACGAACGCTGGGGGTCAATCAGTTCACCGCGTAACCGGCACCCTGAGCCGCTGTCCAATGAGTCGTCCAAAACATCAGCAGCAAGCAGCTTATAGAAGTGGCACGTTGGCCTCTTTCCTTCCCTACTCCCCTGTATTTCCAGCATCCCATCCGGAAACGAACTCCTGCAAACGCATAATTACAGCAGACTCAGCATATGAACTCTCCAGCGAAACAACAAAACTCATTACATCATGGTGGACCTACCAAGGGGAGAGGTCTTGACAATGAGTTGGATATGAAAGTCATGCTGGCCCCCCACATACTAGTAGCACATATAGAATAGAACATATACATTTCTGGTTGGTGGTTTCAACTCACTTGAAACATGTTATAGTCAGTGGGTTCAATCATCCCAAGTAAAGCTTGAAAAGAACCATATCCGAAACCACCTCCTAGATGATCCTAGATATTCATAAACTTACCAATAGCATGGCAACCTATATGTCCAGTGGCCCACACGGCTTCAGTCCGATTCTTCCGCTCGGTTTTCCCCGGGTCTCGGAGCTTGGATCGGAGCTCTCGAACCTCAGGGCTGGACGTGGCGAGGTGCTTTTGAAAGGATGAAGTGTGTATATCAGTATATCCATTCGGTAGGTTTTCGGGCGTCTTTTTTCTAGTAGAATTGAAGTGACAGGCGACATGGATGTGGTTCAGAAACTGTGTGAATCGGACGGATAAAGCATCGGGCGGATGAAGCAGGTGGAATCCTCTCCTTGAAGTTGCTCAAAGTGGTCCTTTTGGACACGGTTGCTTGGCCTTCACCAATGACTATCCATGGATGGCCCTGGCGTGCAAAGTGGCAAAGGGCCAGCCATTCAGTTGGGGGAGCCCTGGAAACGAGCGTAGTGGCGCAGTTTTTCGTCTGGGTTTGAATTGGTCGGCAGTTTCACTGCTGCGACCGTGGTGGCCGAAAGGAACATCATGAAACAAAATACTGTCACAGTTCCTTCCATAATTCATCAACCCTCTCCCTCATAAAGAACATTCAAAGACTTCTGCTCTCACTCAAGTGCAAACTTGTCACAAAATCTCCTCTCTAGGGTCCCAGCCCCGCAATATCCGGCAGATGACAAGAGTTTCTGCAGGCGGAGCTCGCGGTCCTGCCAGCGATGTTTTTTACGTACTGCCTCACTTCCTCACCAGCGACGTTGTTTATTCTAAAATGCTCCAAGCAGCCCTTGGCCAGTCAAAACACCTCAGGATTTGAGAACTCAAACCCCATATGACGGCCCGGGTCTCCGATCATGAGGGTCAGCCTCTGGCCACCAACAGCGGGCATGCCGTACAAACCAAAAAACATCCGTCTGCTGGCTCTTAAGTTCCTTCCGTTGTATTGACTTTGTACAATGCACAAGAAGTTACATGTAGTTACAATTGCATCTGTTACAAATGCATCTGTCCAAACAAATTTGGTCGTTCAACAAATTGAGCAAAACACCACATTGCAAAGCGCGAGCATCTACACAAAACGTTGAATGACAACGCTGCTGACCTTCACATAGCTTGGGGGTCGTAGTCGCAGTTGAGCAGCAGCAGCAGCAGCGTGACCAACTAAAACCAAACCAAAGCAGAAAGGACAAATAAAAGAAAAACGAGTCTGGAAGCAAACACTCTCCATTGACCTCTCCATTGATATCCAACCCCCGAAACAATTCAATTATATAATTTATATAATGGTTGGGAAATGTTGGGAATCATTTCACGAAAGGTTCTATAATTCTGTCCCAATTTGCAAACTGGCACTCGACACTAAAGGCAGGGTTCGATTTCGCCAGTTCTTGCGACGCCTCCCAGCTGAGGACCCCCACATCGAGAGTGGCGGCTGGGGCCTGAGCGAAGATGATCTCATGCCCATGCGGCACAGGACCATCCTTTGACGCCTGGTCCGGACCATATAGGACCATCGACAGAAACATCTTATAAGGGTTCACCAGGTGAGAAGGCAGCAATACAGCTAGCTCTCAATCCTCCAAACATCTGTTTGAAGACTTCAGCCTTTCCCAACTTGATTTTGGGTCAAAATGAACTTTTTGAACATTGACTTAAAGGACTGAGAACCACTTACAGTACTTACCTGAAAATGCACCAAACACCATCTAAAAACGCTATGATTATGACCAAATTTACCAAATTTAAAAATTACCAAAACACAAACATAACCATTACCAAATTTAAACATACTGCAAAGACAAGTGCAAACACAATACAAACAAACATAGGGCACACAGTTCACAATGAGCAGGAGCACTAGGTTGCTGCCTGACACCAAGAAGCCTCGCAAGAGAAGACAACCTAAACAAAGAAGCCGAGCCCTCCTTCAAAAACCACAAACCTTTAGAAGCCTTCAACCGTTTTCACTTGAGCAAATATTCAAAAGCAGTCCGCAAGACCTCCTTTGCCTTTTGTGCTAGGGTTCCCCGAGGGTATTTGCGCTCCTATTTTTCATTTTTTGTATCTATTTCCAATTTTGTTTTGTATTGTGTTCCTATTTTTTTCGTATTTGTTTATGTACTATGTGTTATCAATGTTTTGTTTTTCCGAGGAACATTAAAAGAAACACGCAAAATCAAAAGAAACATGCCGCAAATCTGTGTTTCCTAGGAAGTGATATACGAACAAAATAACTAAACAAAAAACCCTACAAATGAATACAAATGAGAAAAACATAGAAGCAAACATAGGGAGAAGATGGGATAAATATTCAATGAAGGCCTTGCTCTGACCACTCTTCACCCATTCCTTCCTTGTTGTTTTCCCCTGGCTGGCTAGCAATTACTTGTACTCATAAATGATCTTGGCGTGATCGTTGCTTTGTTGCGTGATCTTTGCTTTGTTGTGCTAGTGCAGGCCTTTGTCTATGCCACATGCAGCCTCTACTTGGGTTTCAATCAGTGAACAGTTACCTGTTGCAGTGCCTCTTTGACACACGTTGTGTTCCCTTTCTTCCTCTGGAAGTGCTGGTTTCTATCGCAAACTCTCCAGTCCGCTTGTTTTTGTGTGACTGTCCTAGTTTCATTCATGTTTCCTCCTATTTATTTTTCATTGTTCTTTGTATTGCTTTTGCATTGTCCAAAAAATACAAAACTTAACTTTTTTAGACTTTGCTTCTTAGGCAGCTCACAGCCCTGTGACAACGAGACGCGTTCCTCTTGGATTCATTGTTTCCTCATGTTTCCTCGTTGCCCAATTACCCTTTTTCCTTCTCCCGTCGCGAAGGTGTCGCTCCGCATAGCTCAGCCCATGACCATAGCACGCTCCCATGGTGCAGCCCAGCGAGTTCTTGAAGGACAAAACATCGGACATCTTCACACACTGCCATGGCATGATCATGTGTGCAGTGCAAATCCACGTGTGCGCATATATCAGTTTAACAAGTATTTGCACAAACATGCATTATAATATACACGGTACATATACACTACTGTACTGTACACACATATATATATATATATGTAATTAATTGTGTACGTATATGTATATATAGATTACCGTATTCAATACTGCTTTAGAATGCTATACATGACTAATTACGTATGCAATATACATGAGAGGTGGTAGGTCAACTGGAGTGCTCATTGACGTCCACTGGCGGTCGTTCCGGGCGCAACAGGGGTCCTGGCATACACAACTACCAGGTCGCTTCTGTACAACAGGGGTGGTGGCAGGTCTCGTGGTGACTGGGTCAATTTTTCAAGAATGTAGGGATGCATTGATGGTGATGTGGACAATCCATTCTCAGAGGGACCTGTCACAACCTCTGTAAAACTACACCGTGAGATTCCCATGGAACCTTTTCGAACCACAGGGTCAAATGGAAAATCGACTGCCCTGGGTCTCTTTCCAGTTCCATGTGAATCGTCAGGAGACTACCAAGTCTCATGGGTTGGTGGCCCATGGCTGCTGCACACCGTGGCTCGCTCTCGTTGGAAAGGGCCGCTCACGATGCTCGCGTGCGCGGGCCTGGCCAGTATCGGGCGATTCATTCAGGCCAAGGACGCGTCGCTGACGTGCACCAAATCGACATACCCTGGGAGTCCAGTCGACGGATTTTTCGTCCCATCCCTCAAGTCATCACGAGTCGTCCCGAGTCTAGGAATTTTAAAACATCGGTAGGGACGGTGGGACTTCCAAGGCATAGAGAAGACGCTGGGACTTTGCACAAGACTGGAGGACGAGGGATTTCCTCATGGGTACGATCATTCACGAAAAGAGATGGAGAACTGCTCTACCCCATCAAAAGAGATGGAGATGGGATGGGTACGATCATTCACACATGATGCACATGTTGTGGCACCAATGAGATTTTGCAAGACATGCCTGCCGTGCATGCATGTGAATGCTACATCATGCTCAGGTCCCAGCTTAGAAGGCAGCGGCCATAGCCAACTGTGCAATTCGACTCCTCACTGGCTCACGTTGGGTGACGAAGGGAGTGGAGATGAGTGGAGGAACACCTGTGGTCAAACGCACACCAAACGACACAACAGCCCCGCATGGAGTCCCCCAAAGCACACATGAGTGATCTTGTTACAGGACTGCCGCTTGAAGCTTGAGTGTTCAGAAAAGTTTCTTGAGAAGATTGACTTTGTTCCGTCACCCGGCAAGAACCCCTGGACTTTGTTCAGCATGTTGTTCTCTTGTTACGATCCATAGGTGAACCACAAGCAAAGTTGCCACCTTCACCCCTTTTATATTGTGTTATGTCTTACGTTGCTTTATGACTATGTTTGTGCTCATAGGTCACAGGAAATACATTGAAGCAACACAGGTATATTAATGTTGCATCCTGAATAGTCACAGACAAACATGAGGGAATATATTTGGATGAATATAGTAAATAGGGGGTGTGCCCAGGTCGAAGAATGTGAAGTTGTAAATGCAAATTGATCGCGGAACCACTGAATTGCTTTAGAATAACTATTCCTTTAGAGCACCAAATCAACAACTATGCACACTATGCACTCCTCCAACGACTACTGCTTCATACTACTACATGCTACTACCCACTGCTACCCACTCCTACTACTAGTATTAGTACTACGACGACGGCGACTACTACTACTACTACTACCACTACCACTACTACTACTACTACTACTACTCCTACTGCTGCTACTACTACTACTACGACTACTACTACTACTACTACTACTCCCTACTGCTTCTACTCCTCCTCCTCCTCCTGCCGCTGCTGCTGCTGCTACCCCCCCACCCCCCCACCACCACCACCACCTCTTCTAGCACCAGCACCACTAGAATTGTTTCAGGGGATGCTATCACTCTGGACTCTCCCCCAGTTCTTGGCTATGGGACTTTGAGGTTAGATCCTGCAAGCCTCCAATGTCCTCATCCTCTTGCCGCAACCCACAAGCGCTCCCATGAAGGTCTTCCTACATCATCCTCATCCTTCTGTTTGATCTTAAACCTGTCTCGAGCGCAACATCCACTGCTTCCATCGAGCGTCACAACAAGTGCGCGACGAGTCATCGAGTCCCCGGTCATCGCGTCCCCGAGTCCCCCCAGTCGCCGGTTCGATCGTCTCACCGAGGATCTGCAAGGACGAGGCCTTACACCGTGCCACTTCCACCAGATCGGCCATGATGCCTGGTGTCACGCGTCGGGCGGGCAGCTGAATGCGGCCGTGAGGGGTCTAAACTACCAATGAAATGCAAAGGACCACATGGACTCTCAAAACAACAGGGGGTTGTAGAGGAAAACGCTCGGATCCACGGATTTCCACCGAGTGATGTTCGATTTTCAGGGTCCATCTGGGAAAAAGTCACACGTGCTACAAACCCCTGCATTCAGCTTGCGGAAAGAAGACCAGAGACGACCTTCCGCGAAAAACAATGCTTCCGCTAGAAAAATCATGTAGATAAACAAGAGACGACTTCGTCATTTGCCTGTATGACCCCAAACTCCCATACAACCCACCCTGATGTAGACTTTGCCAGTACCATGGAGTCTGCTGACCCATCGAGTCCGGTGACGACATCCCATACCGACCTAGCGAACCTGGCAAATCATTCCACAAACGCACCACGCACCTTCAGCTTGTGCCTTGACAATGACCTGCAGTAAGGACTCCAAGTCCTGGCTTGGCAAGCACCCATGTCAGAAAAGGTCCCCGTCCACACCTTTGGGCAAAGCTGTCTCTGGGGAAATCTGGGTCACAAACCCCAAAAAGCAACCCACGTGGCCGCCCTACTTGACCATGCATCTTTGTTATAAGCATCCTAGGTGCCACACACCAGTGTCCTCCAGGGTCACCCTCCTGGTCCTCCAAATTGGAGCTAGTTCGGCCCGCCGGTCTCTTTCGTATCGTAACTTGGGCGAGTGCCCCATGTTTCCTCGCTGTTGGGCAGGGCTTTTGATGCAGGGTCGTCGGCATAAAGCTGCATCTGTCGGCCATCTGATCGTGCGCCAAACGGTCAAACCTCCACCTCCCTACCGTCCGAACCGATGGGGTGCGGCAGCAGCGGCAGCACGAGCGCCGCACGGTCCTCCTTCTCCAGCGCCGCGTGCAGCAACGCGCCGAGCTCCGACTCCGGTGCCCCTGAGGACGGCAACAGTTCCCCGCACGTCGTGCAGCGAGCGCAGCGCAGCGTGCGCCAGTAAGAACATCCCAAGAAATGAAGGAGATTTTTTTTTGGGGGGGGAGCAATTCCTGAGACCAACTCCTGGTCGTGCTGGTTTGGGGTTGTTTGGGGTGTTTCTGTGAGATTGTTCTCCTGATCATCCCTTATCGTCTGATCATCTGGCACAGGAAATCAAGAACCGAAGCAAACACGTAGGCCCGATGGAGTGGGCTCAAGTCGACCGCTGCGTTGCTGGTCGCTCATGTCGACGCACCAAAAACAACAACTGAGCGAGTTCGACAGAAACCTGATTTAGGAACAAATGCCCTAGGGCTCCAAGTACCTCCTCAGAAGGTATTTGGAGCCTGCCCTAGGGATATGCACATCACTGGGAATATATTAAGCAGCGATGGCAGCGATGGTGATGGAAAAACATGTGATAAAAAAAGGAACAAAACAACACCATGCATGCTTCTTCAAAGATTCGTGGTATGTTGTTTTCTTGCCACCCTTGGTGCCGACATAAGGAACATAAGGAACAGAACAAGCCCGGAGGGCACCCCGCGCCAAACAATTTACACTTGAGCGGTTTAGGTATGAAGTATAACAAAACATGGTGAGCGGCCCGGGTTGCTGTGCAGCCGAACGTTCAGTATCCCAATATCTCGGGTGGATCCTAATCCCTGTAACAGTATGTAGCAGTGGATGATGATGGTTTGTAAAGGCCTCCTAGCTAAAATAGTGATGCTTGCTTACCGGCCGTTACAGGTAATGGGACACCCGCAACCCAATACCCATGACAACTGGTCGACCAGGATTGAGCTGCCCTTTTTTTGGTCGACGGAGCTTTTTAGCGGTCAGTGTGGAACTGATTCATCAGACTAAGACGCTCAAGCTCCGGTGGCGTGACGCTTTACGATCTGAACCACTTGTTTCAAAATGCTGAAGAGTTCTAGACACCATCTAGTCGCTCCAAAAAGCAAGCGCAAAAACAGGCCCCTTCTTCACAAGCTTGGGCAACGAGGCTCTCAAACGTCAGTCTGAGGCCAGTGAAACTGCGCGCTTGGAAATTCATTCCTTCGTTCGTTCTGATGGCCTTCAAACATCATATAAGAGCATCTCCAAGACAAAGTCGCACTCCGCCTCCTGCATCCATGTCAACAAGTCCAGGCCACTGCCTCTTTTGCCGTTCACGCTCACAATGCGGCTTGGTATCTTGACTTCGTTCCTGAGCGTTCTTGAGACATGTGGACAACGGCACATATTATATATATATATGTCTATCGATATATATATATAAATATGTAAACATAATCCCTGCATATATATTGTATAGGGCCACAAGGGTCCCAGAATCCACGCAAAAAATCACTCCGGTCCAGTTCCTTCAAGTTCGGGGGCCCCCAAAAGAAAGGGACCTCCCCAAAATGGGAACCAGCCAGGGCCCCAAAAAACGGCTGAAAGATCGACAAGGCACCTAAAAACAACATTAACTACAAGCAAGCAATCTTTTTTGTCGAACGTGCATCAAGAATTGAAACAACTATAAGAACTACAAATGGAAGGATTTTTCCCATTCTCTTAATTTTACAAAATCCAAATAAAACACTGGCACCTGCCAGGTGTCAGGCTTGAGTGGTCTACCTTTTACAAGAAACCTACTGTACCCCAAAATTGTTTCAGGAAGACAGTAATTAATCATCGCAAGCAGAATGAAAAACCTGCATTTTTAGGAGTTTCCGGCAAGTTGTGCTACTCATGGATTACGTTAGTGCTTTCGATGTATGTATACTGTACGTATCAATGCAAGAGGATTCTGACCATCGACTGAGCAAATGAAGGACACACGTGGAGTATGCCGGCTGCTAAATACAGTCCGAGTCAAACCCTTCGTCTGATCGAGCCGAACGAGCCGTCGCCCCAGCGGTCGCCGTCGAGGGGCGTCAAGGGTACGGAAGCATTGTGATCCTGGAAAACGCCTTCACCAATCTTGGTGATGAGCAGCAAGCCATAGCCCTCGATGTAGTCAATGCCTAGCTGTTGTTTTCAAAAACAACACTGGAACAAGTTATGATATGGACTCTCTCTATATATATATGCATGTTTCTTCTGTGTCTGTATCCTTCTGTCTGAAGCAGCTCACAAGAATCCAAGGTTGCTGAGACTCAACCCTTCAGAATCCGATGGGTCGTGTAAGTCAAACATCTTACTTTTTCTTGCCATGGTGCCGAGGGGATCATCCTTCGAGTTCTTCATGACCTCGGTCGAACAGCGGTCCTTCTGCATGGGCAGAACTTCTGCCGCGCTGAGCGAAGCGTCACAAAAATGACATGAAACCATTGGGAAAGGGGTTTGTCGGTCCCTCATGTCCCTCTGCCTTTTCTCATCCTCACCTTTCTGAACAGCACTTAAAACAGTGTTCAGGCAAAACTCCATGCGGTAGCCAAGCTACCCGTCTCGGTACATATACCAAAAATCCAAAAGCCAAAATTCATCTATGCAACCAAACATGTAATCATTCTGGAAAGCTGGCCATCAATGGATGGGTAGATACTGCTCTCGACTCCGACTACTGGGATTCTGCTCGCCGCTCTATGCTGAGTCTTGGGATTCTTGGGAGGCCAGCGGATGCATGTCGGATGCTTGTATAATTTTTAGAGTCTCGGATGCTTCAACACCCCGAGCCCCAGCCTCCTCCGGTACAGAAAACCGTACAGGGCCACACCCACTGCCAAACGTGCCACGGGCAAACTCCAACATCGGCAGGTCAAAAATACCCTGGCATTCCTCAAACCTTTTGACCAACAAATGTTGACATCATGTAGCGGCGCGGTAGGCCCCAGGGAAAAACATGTTCTCCACAAGCAGGTGGCTTTAGACTTGCATGTGAATGACATCAATCACCCCCCTCATGGAGATTTGAAGAATTCCATGGGCATACCAGGCAACATGACCACGGGAACCACGGGCTAAATCAGTCAGCTCCACCTCAAGCCGGCATACATCTTGCCCAAACGCTAGAATGTGTATCTATGCATACATCTTCTCGTGGAAATCTGTGTTCCCCAGCTTCCGAATCAAAAGGGCACTATATGGGCAGTCACAAGAACCATCCCCCCTTACATCCCCAAACGGCTCAAGACTGCACTTGGCTTTCAATCATGGATTGCTGATGTTTCTCAACTCTCCGGACGTGGCTTGTGCCGATCAATCAAGGCGGCAGGTTCGAAACGCCAAGGAGCAGTCTCTTGAGAAACCACGGGCCTCTGCCTTATTGGATTGGTCCAAGGAAGGTCGGGGCAACCGGCACCCACCCAACCCAACCGGCCGAGATCTCGGATGGCTCTGTGACACCAAAGGGGAAAAATGGAAAGGTTGCTCATTCTCTGACTCGTGACTGAGGAATAAGGGAATGGATCTTGAGGTATCTACAGGGGTGGTTCATTCCCTCATTCCCTACGAGTCGCACGAGTCTGTTCTGCTGAGCGTCATCAACAACGTCATCCTTCCGGAGGCCTCTCTGAGCTTCTCTAAGACATCCTTTCCAAAGACCGGCCGCTCGTCATTGATCGCAAGTACCCGGTCATAGGTTTGCACGGACCTCGTGCGGAATTCTGCCAAAGACAATCCATGCGAGAATTCATGGATTTGAGCAGTTTTGTTGCCAACTGGTCACCGGTCGTTGAAGATTTGCGAACGACTGAAACCTTGAAATCTCATACATGCATTGCTGCATTGATTCAAAGACACGTTCAACATATTTGCAAGCAACTCCTACTTTCATTAACCAACCCCAGCGTTGTGACATAATTGTATACATCATTATATATGATATGCACATAAATTATTAATGTGTAATTGTCAAATTGCGTGGGTCAGGGCTGGTAAGAAAGAAAAAGAAAATAGACCAAACAAAAGCAAATAGACAGTTGCAAAAAGCAAAAAAAACAGCTGGTGCAGGATCATGTTTTTTGGGCCGGAAGTTTGTTTAAACTAGTTTTGGCTGGGTGAGGACCAATAAGGACTGACAATTAAGGCAAACTGGAAGGCTTGCTGCAAGTGCAGCAGGCTGGTCCGTTGGAAAGTGTACTATGTCAAAGTTGGAGGCTGGAGACTTACGCCATGACAAAACAGGCCAAAGGCAAAGGAACTCGATGTGGAGCAGCTGCAGTACACTAATGTATATGGGATTTGGGAGCTGAAGCAAGTTTAACACTGCTGGTGATTGCACACCTGTTATCAATGCTATGAAATCATAGCTTATGGCACTGACACCACTATTTGAACCATGTGGCAAAGGCACAGGTGAAAAAAGTGGCACAGCAGTGATCAAAAGACGTTTAAACCACTTTTTGTGTTGTGTAAAAGTCTAAGTTCTGTTTTTTGGAACTTAGACTGTGTAATTTTTGTGTGGTGAAAAGTCAAAGTTCTTTTTTTCCGGTGTAATTTTCGTGCTGTAAAAAGCCTATGTTTTTTTGGAACTTTGACTTTTTCATCAAATTTTTGTGTGTTGAAACGTCTAAGTCCGTATTTGTTGAAACTTAGACTTTGTAATTTTTGTGTGGTGAAAAGTCTAAGTTTTTTTTTTGTAACTTAGACTTTGTAACTTTCGTGTGGTGAAAAGTCTAAGTTCTCTATTTTGGAACTTAGACTTTGTAATTTTTGTGTGGTGAAAAGTCTAAGTTCTTTTTTTTGGAACAAAACATTACTCAGAGTCCAAGTTTTCTTTTTTCGAAAACTTACACATTGTTTTGGGAATTAGACTTTTTTTTGTTTCGGGAAGTATAGAACTCTATTGTTTCAATCTGCTTTTTGATTTTCGGTTTTGATATTTTTCATTGAATTCAAATTCAAAAACCAAAGTGTTAAAATGGACACAAACAAACAACACAAAATGCGAATTAAAAAAACGTCTAAGTTCCAAAACGAGAATTTAGACTTTTTCCACACAAAAATTAGCTTAAACAAGTCTAAGTTC